TTGCTGTTTGGTGAGTTGGATTGTCAATCATGACAAAGTGTGAATGAATGCATCAGTGGAACACAGTAGACACTATGTGGAAAAGAAACTATACAACTTGTGGTTGAGAACTGGATGGGAAGATTGGGAAAGGTAAAGTTAGCAGTGGCATTATCCAAAAGGAAATATTGTGAAGAAGGTGGCACTGTGGCTCAAAGTTACAGAGTGATAGCCTGAAGCCTAAAATCTCAGGAGGAGCATGTACACCCTGAGTGGATGCCTCACAACTGACAAATATTTATATTCATTACTGGACTTATGAAATAGTAACTCTTGTATATCAGCTTTATAATAAAAATACAAAATAAGAATGAAAATGAAACTGATAAAAAACTGGGAAGACTAAAATTTTAACATCTGTCATTTCACAGAATCCATAAACTACAACAAAAACATTTGTAGCTTGGTGCCAGTGGCTCTCTCCTTTAGTCCTAGGTACTCAGGAGGCTGAGATCTGAGGATCATGGTTTGAAGCAAACAGACTTTGAAAGTTTGTGACCCTTACCTTTCATAAATTACCGAAGTAGCTGGAAGTGGCTCAGATGTTCATGTGATAGAGTCCTAGCCTTGAGCACAAAAACTCAGGGACAGTGCCCTAACCCTGATTCAAGCCACAAGACAGACAAAAATAATTAAATAAACATACATACATACATACATATATACATACATATAAGAAATCTGTAGATCAATGAATAAATTATTAGTAAAACAATTTAGGCCTCTCCCAGGTTACTGCAGATAAAATCAATCTAGGAAACAGTGAGGTTTCAAAGTTCCCTTCAGGAAACATTATTGCCACCCCGATTCAAATTACAACATGCAGAACAGGAAATGTTGTAAAGCTGGGGTAAAGAGGATGATTAAGTCTTCTTACCTCTTCCTACCTCATGTTCCTGTCAAGGCTGAGAGCTGCACAATGCTGGCTCACGAAGCACAGCTTCCTGGAGGCAGCCAGGCATTGTGGATAGGCTGTTGTGCCCAGCCTTGACTATGAAACATACCAGGGTTATGAGGCCAGTGTGATGATACCAGACCCTCTGGGTGCAGCAAAAGCAGCATGGAAATGAAAGTTCTTAGTAAACTTGTACACATATAGATAACACAAGCAGTGTGAGTAAAGCTACTCAGAAAATAGGTGCACACTAAACCTCAAACAACCAGATGGAGAGAAATAGTAAGGAATAGGGGATAAATTAACTAGAGACTAAAAATACAGTTTATATAAAATCAACAAAACAATAAGTTGCTCTTTTAGGGAAAAAACAATAAAATTTACAAATGACTATCTAAATTAATGAAGAAAAGAAGAGACTTAAATGAACAAAATCAGAGATGCCAATGCAAACATTGCAAAAAACCACCAAGAAATCCAAAAGATAATGAAGGGCTCTTTTCAAAACCCACATTGTAACAAGATGGAAAATCCAGTAGAAATGCATGTAAACTTCTTCATCTCCACCAAGATTAAAACCATTTGAATAGGCCCATAATACCCAATGACATTGACAGTCCAAGCAAGGAAAATCTCGGGAACCAGGGGATTTTTGTCTCATTTTGTAAGACTTTTCAAGTTGAAGTAACAGTGTTACTCATGAAACTAGTCCATGAACTAGAAGCAGAAGGATCATGTCCAAACTCATAACATTAAAAAGTGGAGATCGCTGAGTTCCCGCACCTTCTTTCCTTATGCAGATTTGTTTTCAATTTTCCCCATTCAGAACAGTATGAACTGTAGATTTATCATGCCTAAACTTTGTGCTGTTGATGTATGTCCCACTCTCTTCCCAAACCTTTCAAAGCTATTTTTTTAATGAAGTGATATTGAGTTCTGTCAAAGTCTTTTTGTGCATGTATCGATACAATCATGCTATTTCTATCCTCTTTTAAAAATGTTTTGGAGGGATGTAGTTAATGTCAGGGTTTAATCTCAGACTTTATTTCTTTAGTTGCTGTATTTCTGACTTGTGTATATTTGTTTTATTTTTGGTTTTATTTTTGATGTTTAAGTAGTTGGACAGAGGAGTTGCCTTCCCTCAAAGTACTATAAAAGTGAGATGACTTGACCAATTTCATCTTTCTTCTCTACATGTCATATGGTATTTGTAGAGTTGCTCCTCTTTGTATTTGAGGGCAATAGTGTTTGTTCCTTCTGAAAGTCCTGACCATCTTCAGTACTGAGGGTTTTTATTTTAGAGAAGACTGTTCATTTTATTTTTCATCCTTTTTCTCCACTTGTCATAAGGTAGTTGTAGAGTTGTTACTCTTTGTATTTGAGGGCAATAGTGTGTGTTCCTTCTGAAAGTCCTGACCATCTTCAGTACTGAGGATTTTTATTTTAGAGAAGACTGTCTTTTCATTTTATTTTTTAAGTGAGTATATTCAATTTTTTTTGTGGTCATGGGGCTTGAACTCTGGGCCTGGTCGCTGTCCCTGAGTTCTTCAGCTAAAGGCAAGCACTTGAGCCACAGCCCACTGCCAGTTTTCCAATGGTTAATTGGAGATAAGAGGCTTATGAACTTCCCTGCACGGGCTGGCTTAGTACTGGGATCCTCGAATCTCAGAATCCTGAGTAGCTAGGATTATAGGCATGAGCCACTAGTGGCACCCGATTAAAATTGTTATGTTGTAGATGATGTGCAGAGGGGTTCATGTTTCACATTACACTTAAAGAGAACAGTTCATTTTGGATAATGTTACCCCTTCCTACAATCTCTCTCAGATTTTTTCTCCCATTCCCAACCACAAGTTGCATACTTCAGTTCCACACATTGTCTAATGAGTGCCACTGCTGGCTTTGTTCAGACTTTGTCCTCGATTTTGGGGAGACTGCTATAACTTCAAGCTCCTTGCACATGACAACTCAGTTGTAAGTAGTCCTTGTCCTCCTTGTTCATATTTGGGAGGTTCTATTATATATCCAAAACTTATTGAAGCTGGGTGCCAGCTTCGCACTGTTATGATAGCTTCTCAGAACCTGTGATCTGAGGATCACAGTTCAAAGTTAGACTTGGCAGAAACTCAGTTGTGAGTCTCTTACCTGCATTTAACCAGCAAAAAGCCACAGGTAGAGCTGTGGCTCAAGTGGGAGACTGCCAGCATTGATTAAGAAAAAGCTCAGGCACAGGGCTGGGAAGGTGGCTCGGTGGTAGAGCGCTTGCCTTGCATGCATGAGGCCTTGGGTTCAATTCCCTAGCACCACATAAGCAAAAAAGAAAAAAGCCAGAAATGGTGCTTTGGCTCAAGTGGTAGAGCACTAGCTTTGAGCTGAAGAGCTTAGGGACAGCGCCCAGGCCCAGAGTTCAGGCCCCATGACCAGACCAAAAAAAAAGCTCAGGCACACAAACTTGGTCCTCAGTTCAAGCCCTAGACCAGTACAAGAACAAAACAACTAAACAACAGCAACAAAGAAAACTCAAAAAATAAACAAACAATACAAAACCCTAAAACGTTCATGAAATGGCTTCTCCAACAATTTTAGTAACTAAGAGGAAAAATGTGGGAATTCAGCCGATTCTAGAAGAATTTCCCTGCTAACAAAACATGATAAGAACACTATTCCTGTCAACCAAACTAGAAAATGGTAAAGAAATGTAGTTGAGATACTCATCCCAAAGTCTCAGAAGTATATGTGATAATATACTAGAAATATCACACATGACAATAAGGCTGATTTTATTCCAAGGATGCAAATTAGCTCAACATATACAGACAATAAATATTAAGGTCCAAAATAAAATCTAGGACTAAAACACTATCAGGGGAGCCAACTGTACATAGAGACTGTGAACAGGAAGGATAACAGGGGGAGTAGACTTCAAACTAGGTTGAGTGTCCAGTGTTAGGATAGGGGACTTGTGGAGCATCAGATGACGAGAAAAAGTGTTAGATAGCGAGTTCCAGTCATAGTCTTTGACCAAAAAAATAAAATAGGATAAAAATACCCAATGTCCAGAGGGCTTCACACTGAACAGCACTCCTTTTCCTCATGACACATCTTCAGAAAGTCCAGTGGTGATGGACGACAGGACCTGCAGGGTCTTACTCTCTCCACGGCCTTATCTTGGAAGATTTCCTTTGTTGTCTAAATCAGAACACTGATCTCCATTGTGCCTTTGCCACACTGCTTGTCACAGAGTAGAGTCATGGAGATCACAAGATGGAAGAATATGTCTCATCATGTATACACATCTCTGCGTTGACTGCATCCTAATTGTCATTGATTGCCTCCTTCTTTGTCACTAGCTGCAATTTTCTTTGTCATTGGCTGCAAGGTCCACTCTTTTTTCTTTTTTGCCAGACCTGGGGCTTGAACTCAGGGCCTGGGCATTGTCCCTGGGCTTCTTTTGCTCAAGGCTTGCACTCTACCACTTGAGCCATAGCACTATTTCTGCCTTTTCTTGTGATTAGTTGAAGTAAGGGTCTCACTAACTTTTCTTCCCAGGGTGCCTGAGAACCAAGGTGCCTTCTGAGTAGCTAGGATTATGGGCATGAGCCACCTGTGCCTGGCTCTGGCTGTGTTCTTTGGCCACATGATGTTTCTTTGGTGGCTAGATACTACTGTATCATTGGAGAACCAGCATTCTTAGAGTGATCTAATAAAATTCCATATAACAAACAGCCCTGTTAGTAGGAAGGGAACATGAGTAAGAACTACATTCTCTAATCACTGTGTTATAGGAACAGAAATGTTTTTAATTTTAATAGTGTACAGAAAATGTATTTCATTTGTCCCACTAATGATCTGTTAAGCATAAGCAATAGAACCCTTTTGTGCAAACTTAAACACACAAGCACCTCAGCCTTTAAGAATTACAGCATCTCTGAACTTGAACAACACTTCAGGTGTTCAGTACACACAATTTATTCCTCAGATATATTACTAGGAACTTAACTGCTTTGAAGAAAATTTTGGCTGTCCAATCAGCTGTTGAATGCTTTATGACAACCAGTACTTCCTATCAACGAGAAGGAGAGTTTACATTTGGAAAAACTTTATTATTCTTCATTAGGAAAAAAGGACAAACGGTTGGGTAGCATGATGATAAAATACAAATGATCACATCCAGTGTTGGGATTTTCACTGGTGTGTAAAAAGAATAAAAGTTTGCGATGTTGTGGGAGCAATAGAAGAACACAAAACTGCTGACTAACAGGAAGATGTTGTGGGTGGCCTTGTTCTCAGGTGCTGACTGGGAAGCAAGCCTGGGACTATGGAGGTGCCGGGCTGTCTTGTGGTGTCGGTACAGGAGGCTCACCATATAGAGGCTGGTGGTGATCAGGAGGATAACAAACACAAGATCTCGAAATAATAAGATAGAGATGAAATACCATGATCTATTGTCTTCTATCTGCCGAGTCTCACAATATGCATTGTACATCGCGGGACCAACCAATGTGAAATTGCTTTTGGCTTTCATAGCTGTAATGACTGGGATGTAGATGACCATATTGATGACCCAGAAGGAGAGGAAAGAAGGGAAAATCCACACTGAAGACTTAGATTTAAGCCACACCCACTGGGCATGGCTAGAGCTGATGGTGATGGCTTGAAAAGCACTGAGGAGTGAGGTGGTACTGATGGCCAGTCCCCGGGTGACTCTGAAGAGGTACACCACCACTTTACAGCCCACATTGTCCAGAAATTGCTGGATTCTGAAGCATGCTATGATGTCTGGTAACATTGTGAAGGTGAGGTTCAGGATGTTGACCACAGTCAGGTGCATGAAAATGGCATCGATGGGCTTCTTCAGATGACGTTGGAATAAAAACATGTACAGATAGAGCATGGAGAGCAGGGAGTTCCCCATGACACCAACACACAGCTGGGCTATGAGGAAAAGCCCCCATATTGATGCACCTGAGAACATCGCTAAGGTGTTGGTGAGGTTTGATGCATAAATAAGCAGGGAGTCTATACAGGAGAGAAAAATCAGCGCACTGGATTATGGATCCATTCCAAATTGAGCTTCACAAAAAATATCGAAGATGAAAATCGGTTTCAGGCCCAGGGGTGGCCCTTCTGGAGTGGGATGCCAAAGACAAAGATCTAGAAGACATAAATGGTTGAGATTATAGAAAAGAAACCCTGTCTCACACCATGGGTCCTAGTGCCTTCACTAGGAGAACCGTGGGCCTGTGGTACACAGGAATTTGCATATTATGATTTCTTTGGTCTTCAGATTATTATATATGCTCTGTGTGTGTGTGTGTTTGTGTGTGTGTGTGTGTGTGTTTGAAGTCTTGTAGCTTGATCTGAGGGCCTGATGGTACCCTGTGTTCTTGTATTATTGCTAAAAGCTAGGAGCTTCACCTCCATCTTTATGCTGATTAATTGGAGATAAGTCTCATAGACATTCTTTCCTGGGCTGGCTTCATATCATGATCCTCACGTTTCAACTCCCTGAGTAGCTAGGATTATAGGTGTTAGGCACCAGTATCCAGTTACAATCTCTCATTTGAAAACACATCTAATCAGTATTACATAAGAAAGGTAAGGGACTGACCATTAGTTCAAGTTCCAGCATTCCCAAACAAATGTTTACCATCGCAGAAAGTTTTCAGGTAAAATGCTTCCTGTGAAGAAATGACAAACTCGGGAAAATTCCTGGGTAAACTTTTAAAATAAGCTTCAAAAGAGGAGTAGGCCAAATATACCAGATGTGAACATGGTTTCACACACTCCCTGAAAACTCAGTGAGGTGCTGGGAAGGTGGCTCAGTAGTAGAGAACTTACCTTGCATGCATGAGGCCCTGGGTACCATTCTCAGCACCACATAAACAAAAAGAAAAAAGCCAGAAGTGGTGCTGTGGCTCAAGTGGCAGAGAACTAGCCTTGAGCTGAAGAGCTGAGGTACAGTGCCTAGGCCCAGAGTTCAGGCCCCAGGACTGGACCCAAAACAAAACAAAACAAAACAAAACTCAGTTAAGCATTGTAGTGACCATGGTTCTATATTAGCATGCCTTGATATGAAATGCAGTCATTATCATGTGATTCCAGAGATGAAATGCCCGTGTATTTCTGGAGGGAAATGACACAAAAGTCTACACAAACCATTCTTGCCCTATGATAAAACACTGGGACAATGGAACAGGAATCTAACATTCAAAGTAGGCTTCAGCTCACTCATTACCATATAAAGTGGTCAGTGGAGTAGAAGTGAGGAAAATATAACAATAGATATAGGAAATCTCCTGTGTGATAGATTCAGTATATGTAAGTGGTGAACATTTTTATCATGCAGAGATCTTGTTCTTGTTTTCATGTTAAAAAATATCTATGATGTCCCTAACAATGTATTTATGGGTGTTGAAATTTTTCCATTAAAATTGGTGGAATAAAGTCACTTGTTGTTTGGAGAGTTTGTCAATTATGAGAGAGTGTGAGTGAATGAATCAGTGGTACACAGTAGCTACTATGTGGAAAAGGAACTATACAACTTGTGGTTGAGAACTGGATGGGAAGATTGGGAAAGGTAAAGTTAGCAGTGGCATTATCCAAAAGGAAATGTAGTGAAGAAGGTAGATCAAAGTAGCAGAGTGCTAGCATAGAGCCTAAAATCTCAGGAGGAGCATGTACACCCTGAGTGGATGCCTCACAACTGACAAATATTTATATTCATTACCTGACTTATGAAATAGTAACTCTTGTATATCAGTTTTATAAATAAAAATACAAAATAAGAATGAAAATGAAACTGATAAAAACTGAAATTCTAATATCTGTCATTTCACAGGATCCATAAACTATAACAAAAACATTTGTAGCTTGTGCCAATAGCTCTCTCCTATAGTCTTAGCTACTAAGGAGGCTGAGATCTGAGGATCATGGTTTGAAGCAAACAGACTTTGAAAGTTTGTGACCCTTACCTTTCATAAATTACCAAAATAGCTAGAAGTGGCTCTGTCGCTCATGTGATAGAGTTCTAGCCTTGAGCACAAAAACTCAGGGACAGTGCTCCAGCCCTGATTCAAGCCTCAAGACAGACAAAAACAATTAAATAAACATAAATGCATACATACATACAAGACAACTGTAGGTCAAAGAATAAATTATTAATGAAACAATTTAGGCCTCTCCCAGGTTACTGCAGATAAAATCAATCTAGGAAACAGTGAGGTTTGCAAGTTCCATTCAGAAAACATTATTGCCACCCCGATTCAAATTACTACATGCATAGCAAGAAATGTTGTAAAGCTTAGGTAAGGAGGATGCTAAAGTCTTCTTACCTCTTCCTACCTCATGTTCCTGTCAAGGCTGAGAGCTGCACAATGCTGGCTCACGAAGCACAGCTTCCTGGAGGCAGCTTGGCACTGTGGATAGGCTGCCCGTGCCCAGCCTTGACTATGAACCATACCAGGGTGATGAGGCTTCTCCTAGTGGAAATCAATCCGTGTCACAGGCTGGCTGGTTGCCTTGTTTACAGACTTCAATCTGATGTCCCCATAGGACATGCAAAATTCTCTCCCAGGTGCCAAGGCAATCTCTGAGAAAACATATTAATTTGATTACTTAGAGAAAAGAATTACAACTTCAAGATGTGTGTTTTTTCCAAGTCAAACTCATTAGAAAGTAAACTTCAGGGTGTTGCTGGTAATTAAAAATTAGTTCTCACTGCCTTGGGGACATACTGAGTGGAACCCAGAGCACGCTCTGTCTTCCCTGCTGGGGGCCTTGGCTCTGCAGAGCTTGGAATCTGGTGGGCCAGCTGTGTAGGGCTCCTGTACCCCACAGCACAAGAGTGAGGATTCTAATGCACAGGCTGTGCTACAAGGTTTTCTCCTGTCCAAAGCTCTGGACACATATTGATAAGCCATATAAAAAATAAGAACAGAAAATTTCCCTAAATCAACGAGGAATCTCATCCACCTGGTAGAGATATATAGAACCCATCCCAGACAGGGTGCCAGAAGAAATAACACTAGACACATCAAAGTGAAAACACTGATGTTCAAAAGCAAGAAACCATTTTTAAATGAAGCAAACCAAAGAAGGAACTTTATTACAATAGAAAAAAGATGAAAATGACTGCAGATTTCTCCATACCAACTGAATGCAAAGAGAGCCTGGAGTGATATAATTCAACCCCCAAATGAGAACAAATGGCAACCCAAACTGGTGTAACCAGCCTGTCTAAAAACCACAATAGTTAGTGAAATGCAAACCTTCCATGACAAACAACAACAACAAAAAGAATCCATAGAATTACATCAGATCTACAAGGCATAATAAAGGAGAGTCTACAATCAGAAAATAGAAAACAATCAAAGTAAACACAGCATTATGTAAAATCACTACATTATGAATAAATACAAGAATTCAATATATAGAATTGAATAAAGATCATTAGAAGTCTAATAACTACCAAAGAGGAAAAAAGCACACGAAAGGAAAATAACAGTATGGCAGGAACAATGACATAGTTCTCCATAGTGACATTCAACATGGTTTTTTTCATTTTTGTAGTTTCATAGGGATTAACTCTGACCCTGGAGGCTGTCCCTCAGCTCTTCAGCTCAAGGCAAGTGCTCTACCACTTGTGCCACAGGACTACTTCTGGATTTCTGGTGGTTAATTGGAGATTAGAGTCTCACAGCCTTTCCTGCCTGAGCGGGCTTTGAACCTTGATCCTCAGATCTCAGTCTCCTGAGTAGCTAGGGTTACAGGCATGAGCCACCATTGCCCAGCTCAAAGAAAAAATTTTATATTGCTTAGTTACTTAAACTATTATTGGTGGGGGGCTGATAATGTGGCTTAGAGGTAGAGTGCTTGCCTAGCATGCATGAAGCCCTGGGCCCAATTCCTCAGAACCACATACAGAGAAAAAGCCAGAAGTGGTGTAGTGGCTCAAGTGGTATAGTGCTAGCCTTGAGCCAAAGAGGCTCAGGAACAAGCCAGATGTCGGTGGATCATGCCTGTAATCCTTGCTATTCAGGAGGCTGAGGTCTAAGGATCGAAGTTCAAAGCCGTCCCAGCCAGGAAACTCCATGAGATTCATTTCCAATAAACCACTCAGAAAATCATAAGTGGCACTGTGGCTCAAGTGGTAGAGTGCTTGCTGTGAGCTAAAGAGCTTAGGAACAGTGTCCAGGTCCTGAGTTCAAGACCCAGAACTGTTCCCTCCCTCCAAAAAAAAAGATTATTGGTGGGATAAAAGAAATACATTTCCTGCACAATATGAAAATTAAAAATAATTTCTCTTTTTTAGGGCTGGGAAGTTGGCTCAGTGGTAGAGCGCTTGCCTTGCATGCCTGAGGCCCTGGGTTCGATTCCTCAGCACCACATAAGCAAAAGGAAAAAAGCCGGAAATGGTGCTGTGGCTCAAGTGGTAGAGTGCTAGCCTTGTGCTGAAGAGCTGAGGGACAGCGTCCAGACCCAGAGTTCAGGCCCCACGACCGGACCCAAAAAAATAAAATAAAATTTCTCTTTTTTAATAAAGATAGCAGCTAGACAGTCTATTTCTACCTTGTTTTCCCTTCCTAATAACAGTGCTATTTTTAATATGGAATTTTATTAGCTCACTCTACTAATGCTGGTTCTCCAATGACAGAGCAGCATCTAGCCACAGAGGAAACAGCATGTGGCCAAAGAACACAGCCAGAGCCAGGCACAGGTGGCTCATGCCCATAATCCTAGCTAGTCAGAAGCCACCTAAGTTCTCAGGCACCCTGGGAAGAAAACTTAGTGAGACCCTTACTTCAACTAATCACAGGAAATGCCAGAAATAGTGCTATGGCTCAAGTGGTAGAGTGCTAGCCTTGAGCAAAAGAAGCCCAGGAACAGTGCCCAGGCCTTGAGTTCAAGCCCCAGATCAGGCAATAAAAAAAGTGGATCTTGTAGCCAATGACAAAGAAAATTGTAGCCAGGGAC